CAGGCTGGTGAAATTGTCCGATCGGGCTTAAAAGCTCGATGGAGCTATTATGGCCCAATCGAGCTTTTTTTTTAACAATAGAAATAACAAAAATTGAGGGTAACCACTACTTCCGCTTTACTGCGAACACCCAAAGTCCTAAGGTTTATTCATTATACTTATCTATAATCAACCAAGCAATAAATATTATCCAACAATAACTTAAACAATGCGCCGACTTCAAAGAAAATACCATTAAATCACATAGAGTCTATAAAATAACACTTAAATATCTATTTTTCATAGAAATACTAATTTGTTCTTCTCCAAACTTTGCACAGCTTCGCTTCCGGTATATTGGAGTCAAATAAAAAAAATGGCGAATAACAGAATTGCTTATATCGTCAGCATCCATCCGCTGCAACATTTTTATTACAGCTAGTGCTCAAAAATATTTTATACCCATATTTTGATAGTCTTAAAATATATATCGTCATTCGGTTTAAAATCAAACAAAAAAATATATATACATGTAACGTTCTATACGGTTAGGTTTAGGTGTTACGTAACAGAGAATGTGTATAACAATGTCACATTTATACCAAATACACACACTACTATAGGGGTGCTGTCTTATTTTTATGTACCGTTACTGCTTCATTATCAATACATCTAATGATTATTCATGAAAAACACGTTTTTAAAATATATTTATAAACACTTCTTCGTGAGTTTTTTATCAGTTACAGTGTAGTTTTCGGATACAGTAGGCTAACAGCTAAGAAGTTCCTGAACATTTTAAGAAAGAAAACATGTCTTCTAAAGTAAGTTCTGTATACATGTATAAATTAAATGTTAAAAAAACTATACTTTAATATTCTAATTTATATGATTTAAAATAATTGTAATAATAAGAAATGTAACTTTTTTTATTTAAACTGGTATTAGATGTGAGCATTATTTCACCTACCCTATCGGAAATATGTGGAAAGTATGATAGTAAATTAGCATATGAAGTAAATTGTAAATTAACAACTTTCAAAGTTCAAACATTGCAATTTATATCTAAATTATGTAATTATAAACTATAGAACGGTTATATAATCTTTCAGAAATCACCAGCATGTTCTTGTGTTGAACACTCTGTTTTAAATGATGGAACAAATGTTAGGATTATAAGATTAGCGAGCAAAAAAATTAAAGTTGAAACTATATCCTTCATGAAAAATGAAGGATTCATTCCTAATCATGCCCTTGCAGTATGTCAGTCTTGTGTGGACCATTGTGAAAAAATTAAAAACACATCCTGCAAAAAACTTAAAAAAGACAATATTGGTATTGTCATTGACAGCATAGAAGATAATTCTATATCAAATACAGACTTAAAAAAACTTATAAATGTGATTGGTAAAAAGATAAGTAATGATATTAGAGAGGATGCTCTAACAATTAGTAACTCTTATGATGACGTAAATTTTGTTGAAGATTTTCAAGTAGACACTTGGTTGCAATCAAGAAATGAAATTCTTGTTGCATTTTTGAAAAGTGCATGTGCTATTGGAAATGATTCGAACACTAAAAAAAAGACAGTATGCCTTCTCAGTGCAGTCGATTCAATCTATAAAGCGAGAATTGTTAATATAGTAACTCCAATACCATTTCATACAAATCTTATATCTTATTACATAAGCGGAAGTAGTACTATTCCAAATATTAATAATAAATATTCACCTGCTGGCAGCTATGTCTGTTTGAAAAAATGGCTTCTTAAACAAGCATCCGAACGTATTAAAAACATAGATAATAAACACGACACTTTAACATTCTTTGACAACAATCAAGTGGTTTCCAGAAACTGGAGAGTGACATACAATTATAAAAGCAGAGCTAGTGTAGTCACATCTTTATTACACATTCAACCATCTTATTCTGAAGATCTGCAGACGCAAGAAAGATTCAATCCAAAAAATTGGCTTTATGACCCTCTGACAAATCCTACAATAGTAACCAGAATAAATAACCATGTGCATTTAAATGAGAAATGCTTTGATGATATAAGGAATCAATTCCTTGCAAACAGAATTGAAATTCTTAAAAAGCAACAGAAAGATGTAAATGGCAAATTAAGTGATGCTGTGGATAGAAACATTACAGGTGACTTTATTATTTTAAATTATTCAATCTGTATATAATACACAACTGATATGTTATCATAACTAATGTGATGAACATGTATCACGTTTGTTGCATTATAAATAATCTATGAATGTGTTGATATAATTCATTTCTACATAAAGCGTTTAATGAAAACAGTTATATATAGAGTTATACAATGTAAAGAAATAAAATGATAGTAATAGGAAATTAAATGAAAAGTAATTTGAATGTTTTATCATATAAAATAGTTATAACATACAACACAATAAACAATATATAGCTTTTCAAAGATGTATGTATTATTAATACATGTAACTGATTACAATAAATGCCATTAATGTTTATATTACATATCTCAGAAAATCTTCAACCAATTCTTCCAAAAGATTCTCATGATCCGTACTGTTGGGTAAAGAGTGAACACCCAAACATGGCACCAACTGTTAAATTGGGTGAACCTTATATGGCAAACCCTTGTTCATTCGAATCTGTAAAAAAAGTATTAAAGGTTAGTTTCATCTTTAACTAAATTTTTTAACAAAAGATTTGTATCCCATCATGCTGATATTGAAAACTGTAGTTGTAAATTTATTATTAGTATTGTAAACACTTTTTGCTTTAACATATCATTTTAGATTGATATCAATCGATTACAATATAAGAAAAATAAAATATATTATATAAATTATACATTAAAATAGATATATCTTTCAGTATTAATGTATCTATATTAATTATTTTATATCCAAATATACATTTAAGTAATATTTTAATCATACTAATTTTAAGCATATACAACGACAATGTGTTGATGAAACGAAAGGTACTCGAAAATGGACAATAGCAGGTTGTGATGGTCTTCCATACAATCTTGGCAATAAACTTTTACCTAACAATGAAGACTTGAAAAATATTCTTCTTGTCCCCGGAAATGGACATATTGAAATGAACGGCACAAAGGCTGTCTTCAAATTACTTTGGGACGTTGTTATAGAGGACATTTGTAAGATGAATGGTTTCCGCTCACCTAGAGCACTTTTGTCTGCAAAAAACTGCGCCGATCATCACAAGTCTTGGGAAATTTTAATGATTCTTCTTTTTGGAACAATAGACGAGTTAATAAGATGCTATCTTGTTCAATGCCATAAAGAAAAAAATGAACCAGATTTGACCGGGTTTTATTCTTTTATAAAAAACTCAAAATCAGTAAATTTCAGATTCTTAGCAGATTCTGTTTTAAATTTTGTTTTTTCGCTATTCGTATTTCGATGTGGTATACGCCGTTCAAATTCAGAGTATATCAAAGCTGGGCATAGCAAATTTTTGAAATTATTCTATGGATTGAATATGACAAATTACCAATATTTGACGTTTTGTCAATTAAAAACCAAAATCCTTGCACCCTTAGAAATTTCAAACATGTTAGATAGAACAGAATCATTCTCAGTTACATGTAATGATAGTAAAGGAGAGGGAGGAGATTTTATTTTAGAAGCCTACAATGGTAAAGTTAAAAGATGGCTTCCTCCAGGCGCACCAACAGAAAAACATTGGATTGAAATTTGTAGAAACTTAGATAAACTGGAGCAGGTAAATTCTTACGTTCTTTATGCTCTGTTTATAATTTAACTCATTCTTAAGTATCATATTATTATGATACATTTAAATCAAAATATCATTATATATACCATATGAAGTTGATATTGTACTTGATATTTGATAACGACTAACTAGTTTGATTTTAAAAAAGGTTGATAATACAACATCAAGATATTTAATTTAAATCAAATTAATCAAATGTATATAATTATCACTAAGAAGCATAAGGGTATCCATTTAAACTCAAACAATAAAAGTAAAATTGATAATGATTACGAGTATAAAGGAAAATTGTAACAAGAATCACTTGTAATTATTTTTTTCCGAAACATTTCAAAAGTATTTAAAAATACCTTTGAAGCAATTAATGTTTAATAAGAAATATGTATGTGCTTTTAAAACAACATTTTATCACAATTAAAGCGTTGATTTATAATAATTTATTCCGATAACTATTACTTTAGATAAGACAAAAACTTCAAATGGAAATCGGATTGTCTAAGAGGGCTGCAGAATTGTACCAAAGGGATCTTTCTGTTGAGACATTCCAGTGGAAAGTTTTATTGAGAAAGAGTGGATATCTAGATTCCACAACTAAGTATGAAACATTTGACTAAATTATAAATAAAGAAATTAAAATAGTTAATCGCTTTTGTTTTCATAGATTCACCATATGAATTACATTCTTCTGTTGAAACGGCCCTACCCATCTTTTCTATAAATGGCCTAATTCACTTGTATCAGGCTAATAAAGTAAACTTATTTTTATTCAATTTGATACAATCATGTTATAAGACAATTTAATATATATTTCACTCGGAAAGATTAAAAATGTACTTGTATAGTTTTTTGTTTTAAATTTTCTTAACGTATAGAAATAAATTCAAGCATATTAATGACATGTTTGGAACGTTTTTTTATTTTATTTCATGGCTTTTTTTGGTGTTGTTTTAGGCAACATACAGGATTATCGGGGAAAGTTTTAGACAAAGACCTTTTAATATTTCAAACTATTTGCGATGACAATTTTCAAAAGTATTTATGTGAAACTGCTACAAGTACCAATCCCGGAAAACAAGTAAAATTAAAACCTATTTTTACAACCGAACTTGACAGAGAAAAATTCTACAACATAAAAAATCAAACAAAGGACAAGATAGGTACTATTATCCAAAACATGATAGAGAAGTTAAGTGAAAATGGAAATAAGGATGATGCATACAGGCTTGAAAGACAATGGGAAAAGATAAAAGGTTATTTGAATTTTATTTAAACTTTTTTATGTGCTCTGGGCAATAATAATTTATATGTTCAATATCCTCCTTTTTGCCAACAATTCCAACACATAAAGCGTGAACCCAAAATTCACACTTATTTTCTGAGCAATTAATCCATAAACATTTTTTCTTCCTCCCAACATGTGCTTCAAAGCATATGTTACATTGGTCACTATTTTCATGTTCTACTTGGTGCGGATGATCGGGATATTGAGCACTTGCATTTGTTGAAATTTGTTGCACGCTCTCATTGATTCCATCTTATAATATAAAAGATACACTATTATTATTCTTGAGCAAATCATATTTTTAAAACATTATTCATACAATTTAAAATGTTTTTCAAAGTTAACCTAAAATATATTCAACATCATTTACATCGTTGTTTACATTAAATGCATAATTATAATAATAATTGCGAATTGTAAGAACAATAGTTCCTTGAAACTTAAGTACACTGACATTGTAACATTAAATTAATTTTTTTTTTTAGAAAATATATAAGTTTACCAGTTACATTTTGGGAAATTTTACATCCTTCTGATAGAAAAGTTTCAACAGGATTATCTGCGCCGTCCCTCCATTGAAGCAGCAATTCAACCCCCGTTCTTTTGCTTAACATTTGAATCTGAAGCAGCAATTAATTACATTTGTAAATTTTGTTGCATTAATATAAATACGATTTCAATGACATAAACAATTTCTCAAATTAATTTTGCAATTAGTACTTGTAAATACTCATATCAATAATATTAAATACCATTATATTTTGTTTAAATTTCAAAAGTTGGTACAAAGGAGGCTATGTTACATTTTTATGGTGAAGTTTCATTAGCTCTTGAAGAATCAACTATGGCAGAAAATTCAGACACAGGTAAGTAATACTCACATTTTTCTTTAAACTTTTCAATCTCTTACATTTTGTTTCCCGTCTTGCTTTAGTGTCAGACACAAAGGTGTCTGAAACCGGACCACTGTGGTGCTTCTTAGCCCTGCACTTCTGTCCTTTAATATTCTTTCCAGGATTTTTTTTCTGTGAAAAAAAATAAACAAAAACTAAACAATTTTTTAAATATGATTAAGAAAAAATCGACTAATTTCATTAAAATAACAATTGAAATTACAGATGATGAAGAATGTACAAGTGAAGATGATTGCCAATTGTAATCGACAATACTTACCGGCATAGCTAGTGTTTCGCTATCCAGGTTACAATTTGATGACGGTATGTATGTATGTATAAAAAAAACGATCAGTTCACAGGCACACATTTACAGTAACTGTATAAATGAAAGAAATGCAAGAAGGAAGAAACGAGTGAAGATAGAGAAAATCGTGAATTTCATGTTTTGATTATTTAATATATTCATTACAAAGCGGTGACAATACATACTATGACAGCACCCCTCTGATAGTAGTGTGTGTATTTTGTATAAATGTGACATTGTTATACACATTCTCTGTTACGTAACACCTAAACCTAACCGTATAGAACTTTACATGTATATATATTTTTTGGTTTAATTTTAAACCGAATGACGATATATATTTTAAGACTATCAAAATATGGGTATAAAATATTTTTGAGCACTAGCTGTAGTAAAAATGTTGCAGCGGGTGGATGCTGACGATATAAGCAATTCTGTTATTCGCCATTTTTTATTTGACTCCAATATACCGGAAGCGAAGCTGTGCCAAGTTTGGAGAAGAACAAATGAGTATTTCTATGAAAAATTAGATATTTAAGTGTTATTTTATAGACTCTATGTGATTTAATGGTATTTTCTTTGAAGTCGGCGCATTGTTTAAGTTATTGTTGGATAATATTTATTGCTTGGTTGATAATAGATAAGTATAATGAATAAACCTTAGGACTTTGGGTGTTCGCAGTAAAGCGGAAGTAGTGGTTACCCTCAATTTTTGTTACTTCTATTGTTTAAAAAAAGCTCGATTTGGGCAATAATAGCTCCATCGAGCTTTTAAGCCCGATCGGACAATTTCACCAGCCTGTTTAAAACGAAACTGTTACGCCTTATGGAACAGGATCCTGTCTTATGAACGGTCTCTTTATATGGATATAAAACATAAAAATATCGAATCAGATTGTTAATATGGTGTTTATGCACAAATAAGGCGCATGCACCTTTTTTAGCATAAAGTCTTGCTTACTTTGATTATGCAAATATAAATGC